CCCCTTAAAATAATTTCGTCCTCGAAATTACCTTATTTAGCCGAATAACTCTGGATACTTGGCTTTTATTTCTTCTTCTTTTTCCCAAGTAGCTTCTTCGACTCCATGATTTTTCCATCGAACTTTAACTAAAGCAATTTCTTTATTCCTTAATGCATGTGTTTTCCTTTCGACAATCTCCAAAGGAGTCTCTTCATATGTTAGATCTTTCTGTACTTCCAATGAGTCATAGCTTATCACATGTTCAAGATCATGCACATACTTTCTAAGCATCGACACGTGGAATACATTATGTACAACTGATAGTCTAGGTGGCAATGCTAGACGGTACGCTACATTCTCAATTCTATCTAGAATTTCAAAAGGATCTATGAATCGAGGTCTCAACTTTCCTTTCTTGCCAAATCTAAGAACTCCTTTTATGGGTGCCACTTTTAGAAACACTTTTTCACCGACTTCAAATTCTATCGATTTCCTCCGCTGATCTGCATAGCTCTTTTGTCTATCTTGAGCAGACTTTATTCTGTCCCTAATTTTATCAATTACTTGCACTGTCCTTGCAATAATCTCTAGACCCAAAATTCATTTTTCTCCGACTTCATCCCAATGAACTGGGGACCTACATCTTCTACCATAGAGAGCTTCATAAGGAGCCATGCCAATAGTAGTTTGGAAGCTATTATTGTATGCAAACTCCACTAATGATAGATGTGACTCCTAACTACCTCCCAAATCCAAGACACATGCTCGGAGCATGTCTTCTAAGATTTGAATAGTCCTTTCAGACTGTCCATCAGATTGAGGATGGTAGGCAGTGCTGAAATTTAACTTTGTCCCCATAGCTCCCTGCATGCTCTTCCAAAATTTAGAAGTAAATCTTGGGTCTCGGTCTGAGACAATGGATGTTGGAATTCCATGCAGCCTGACAATTTCCTTAACATATAATTGAGCAAATTGATCCATACTATAGTTCATTCTTATTGGAAGGAAATGAGCAGACTTTGTCAACCTGTCTACAATTACCCAGATGGCGTCGTGTCCTTTCATTGACTTCGGAAAACCTACTACAAAATCCATGGCTATTTGTTCCCATTTCCACTCTGGAATTTCTAATGGATTTAATGGTCCTGATGGCATTTGATGTTCTGCTTTAACTTGCTGACATACAATACACTTTTCAACAAAGAGACCAATCCCCCTTTTCATATTCCGCCACCAAAAGGTATCGCGGAGGTCTCAATACATTTTAGTACCACCGGGATGTGCAGCATACGGAGCATAGTGAGCTTCCTCTAATATTTATTTTCTTATCCCTTCATCCCTTAGTACACATAATCTCCCTTCGTAGTGTCTCCAACACTATTTTAAGTTGTTCTTCATGTTGGTCCTTATTCCTTGAATACACCAAAATGTCATCAATGAAGACAATGACAAATTGATCTAAATACTGGTGGAATACCCTATTCATTAAATCCATAAATACTGCAGGGGCATTTGTTAATCCAAAGGGTATTACCGTAAACTCATAATGACCATAGCGAGTTCTAAATGCTGTCTTTGGAATGTCATTTGCCTTCATCTTCAACTGATGATAGCCCAACCTCAAATCAATTTTGGAAAATACTGTTGCACCCTTCAACTGATTAAAGAGATCTTCGATCCGAGGAAGAGGATATTTGTTCTTAATTGTCAATCGGTTCAATTCCCTATAATCAATACATAATCTCATTGACCCATCCTTCTTCTGCACAAACAAAATCGGTGCTCCCCAAGGAGATGTACTTGGTTGGATGAAACCTTTATCCAACAACTCCTGTAACTGTATCTTTAATTCTTGTAGTTCCTTTGGCGCCATCCGATATGGAGCTCTAGACACTGGAGTTGCACTAGATACGAGGTCAATTGTAAACTCCAATTGCCTATCTGGTGGCTCGCCAGGCAAGTCATTAGGAAATACATCAATGAAATCTCGTACAATCGGCACATTACAAATCGTAAGCTCCGATTGTTGAGTTCCATGTATACTCACTAGAAATCCTTGACAGAATCTTTTCTTTAACATCTTTTCTGCTTTCATGGCCGACACGATTCACGGTAAAGACTTAACTTGTACCGCAAAAAATTGAAATTCATCCTCCCCAGGCCTCTGAAAAACTACTTCCCTTTCAAAACATCGAATGGTTGCGTGATTGCTTCCCAACCAGTCCATTCCTAGAATAACGTCAAAGTCTTTCATGTCTAGGAGGTGTAGATCAGCTACAAATTCTTTTCCTTCCATTACTAATTTTACCGCCCGAGCGATCTGATTAGTATTCAAAATTCTACCAGATGGAATAGAAATTTCTAGAACACTATCAGATTTTTCACATGCAGTACGTGATTTAGCAATAAATGCGGTGGAGATAAATGAATGAGTAGCTCCGGAGTCTATAAGAACATATGCAGGTAGTTCAGATATTGATAAAATACCTGCCATTACATTTGGATCCTCTGTTGCCTCTTCCCGGGTTAAAGCAAAGACTTTGGCTTTCACTTTCCTTCCCTGTTCATTATCCTTCTTAGGTGGGTATGCCTTGCAATCCGAAGCAAAATGACCTTCTTGGCCACATCGATAGCACACATTTTTCCCAAACCAGCACTCCCCTCCATGGGCCTTATTGCACTTTGGGCATTATGGAGTAACTTTATTTGGTTTACTTGACCCTGATTCTGATCCTATATTGGACTTCTTAAATTATCCCAATCCCTTCCCTTTATTCGATCCATTCCACTTTCGTTTCCCATATGACTCATTATTCTTCTCAGTGATCCGATCCATTTCTAGACGATCAGAAATTGACTGCGCTCTTTGAAGTACTTCACTATATGTGGTCGTATGGTGAGATGCCATGATTCCTCCAATCTCTGGACGCAGGCCTAGTTCGAACCTTCTAGCCTTCTTTGGCTCGGTATCGACAAGATGTGTAGCATACCTAGAAAGTTGTTCAAACTTCCTTTCATACTCATCAAGCGACATATTTCCTTGTTTCAGCTATAGGAACTCTGCCTTTCTCCGATCCCTCAGTGATTGAGGAAAGTATTTTGTCATTACCTTTTCCTTGAACTGTGCCCAAGTCATAGCACATTGTTGCGCTTCCGTTCTAGTACGCGAAGCAGACTCCCACCAATGGCCTGCTGCTCCAACTAGCATAAACTCGGCACATGATACCTTTTGTGCATCAGTGCATGCCATGTGTTTGTAGATTCGTTCTAGCCCTCTTAACCACTCCTCGGCTGCCAAAGGGTTTGCTTTGCCATCAAAAGAAGGAGGTTTAAAACGGCGAAATTGCTCCACAATTGAACTTGTGTTGTTAGCATTTGCCGGTCCATTGTGAGGAGCTGGTGCGTGTGCTTGATCCCTACCAAGGTCATGTACTGCCCTCATCAAATCCCTAAACATAGTTGCTTGATATTGTTGTCCTGCCATTTCCTTTAAATTACTAAAATAAATTTTGTCTTGGGAACATTGGACAATACAGTAGCTCAAAGGAAATTATTATTATTATTATTATTTTTATTTCCAATAACATAAAGGAAAAGATATCATAGTACTAAGGAAATGGAATCTAAAATTCTAATCCCTATAAATTCTGCGAATCTTCTTTAACGGAGCTTCATCTTCAGAGGAGTCTTCTGCTTCAGGCCCGGACTCTATGTCTATCTCAACCAGTGGCTTAGGTTCATGCTCATGATCGTTCTCTAACTCCAGCCTAAAGTCATCCTCTTGTTCCCATTCGGGATCTTCCTCTGGGTCCGACTCAATTTGAGGTTCTGGCTTGGGTTCTGGCTCATCATCGAGCTCGTTCCCTACCTCCAGTTGGTGTTCTAAACTTTCACTCCACCTATCTAGAAGGGTCTGACAATATACATCAAACTCAATTGTGTTTGGATGCTCTGGGGGGTTACCTTCTAACATCTCATTCCTAACCATAACTCCCATGCCTCCCCATTGAGGTGGAAGTGAATGTACGAGATTATTCATAGCCTTAATATGAGTGATCTCTAGTCCTGCCTCCACAGCTGCCATACATTTTTCATTGATGTCTTGCACGTGTTCAACAAGTGGACGAGTCGGGTCAGTCACGAAATTCTCATAAGACTGAATGATGGACCTATGGTTCAACGCTACGCTATAAGCCGTGGCCTTTCTAGTGGTTTGATAAATTCTAACCATTGTCTGTAACACAAGGTTCCAATTATATTTATTTTTGTAGTAATATCAAAGTACATGTTATGCTCTTGTGATTTTTAATAGAATTTTTTTTTTTATCAATATACCTTCATGTATAATAGCATGCATAACATATTTTTTTCTAGACGTTCATTTATAATCATTTCATAGAATTCAAGCTTAAATGATACATAAAGTCATGCTTGAAAATAAAATGAAACTTAATATTTTCTTCATACCTTGAGTCTGTCGGACGGTAGTAGATTGACGAGTGCTAATGTCATGGGCCTTATTTTTAAATACTTGTTTAGTGAAAATTTTCATACAAGTAATATAAACAAGTAGGCATGTACTCAACATAAATTGAAACTGCTTTCTTAACAAGCTGATTTGTTATATTGAAATAAGTAGAGTAAAATCATTTCATTTACTTTAAAAATTACCCTTCCTTTTTTTTTTGAAAACTGTAATAATTAAAGAACAAGCACGTACGTTATCGGGTTCCTAAATTTGAAGTGGGAGAAGATAAAATTTATAAATCCCTAATTCGAGAAGTGGAAGTAATATTAAAGAATCAATTTAAAATTGTTAGCAACATGTACATGTGTGAGTATATGACTTACATCAGGTTACAAATGAACAGTTTATTCAAAATAAATTCTATTGATTTCACAATCATAAATATTTAATAGACAAAACAAAAATTATATATTTATATTTCATGTAGACCACTAAGTCTTCGAAATAAATTATCATTCTAAGAAAAATAATTTATACACATAAATCACATTTGAATATGATGAAGAAATATATATACTTTTTTTTTTTCAAAAAAAAAACTACGAGTCTACAGAATCGACTAAACTCGTGCTCTGATACCATTCTATAATGCCTCGAACTCTTTTTCATTATTATTGTTATTTTCAAATAAAAAATGAGCTCAAGGTGCTACCAAAACTTTTCTCTATCTAATTTAGGCGGAAACATATCGAAAATATTTGATTTCAAATTATTAAACAACATAATAAATATCGTGCATAAATATTAACAAAAAGATATTCTTTATATAAATTGACTATTGTCTTTTCTAGAAATTTTACTTGACGACCACATTAGCGTCGCTCCGTCAATCTTCCACACGTCCTCACGACCCGTTCTTATCTGAAAATATTGTAAGAGTGAGTATTTTGAAAACACTCAGTAAGAATACGTGCACATCCTTTTTCACATGATATAAATATAAAAATAGCATAACATACCAACATTTCTTACGAATTTCTTAAAAATCCCCATATCCTGTAGGATTTAATTTCTTTTCTTTGACCTGACGGTCCATCCCGAAGGATTTAACATAGCATTCGACCCGAAGGCCTCCTCATAGTATCTCATGCCAGAATTTACATATATATCAAGGAATAAGAATTTACCACTTGCACCGTGTATTCTT